ATCAGAATAATTGAAAATTTGGAAACTTATAAAGCCACTGTGTAATAGAAGGCACAGTTACTGGTTTAGTGAGAAGATAAACTGCCCTGAGATACAGAAAAGGAGATACCATTTCCTAATGGCTATACCTGGAGATCCCATCATTTGAAATTGGAAACATTTAGGAAGAGAAGTGGCCATGAATTTTCTGATGAAACAGACCCTAAATGCACTTGGCAAAAAAAAGTGGCTTGGATTAGACAATCACAACATGAACTTGTTGAGTATACTAGCAGTAAGTAGGAAGTCTATCTACCACCCCTGTGGAAATTTATATCTTTTTTTTTTCTTTTCCTGAAAATAAACTATTTCTTTGGCTATCATATATAGAGGAGGTATAGTTGTGAAATACTGGTGGCTCTGGTGGTATATACACCTCTGTGAATGGTGACAAATCTCACTGAAAGGCTGCTACCCCCCGGGCCAGTAAGTCTTTGGAGACCAAGTCTGTTATTTATGATTGCTCTGACTGGAATCATTTCTAATAGTATAAGGAATGATTCTTGGGACGCCTTAGAAAGAGTGATATAAAAAGGGCACTTACCCACCCTGCCCTCCTGGCAGCTGCTCTTCTGCCAGCTACACTCCCTACCACAGCCACCACCATGGCCTGCTGCCATCACCCGGAGGGACTGCAGGTGACCACCAGTGGCAATCGTGTGTATCTCATCAGGTGCAACTTAATGACTACCACTAGATCCATGAGAAGACAGCTGACCATGCTCTGTGCTCGTTCTCTGCTCAGGTGCTGATTCCCCTCTTCACAGGGCAACCGCTGCCCTCAGAGAAGCTGCAGGAGGTGATGGAGGGGCTGTCTGCTTCCCTGAAGCAATTTGAGGAGAGGTTTCTGCAGGACAAGGCTTTTATCATCGGGAGCGAGATTTCTTTGGCAGATCTTGTGGCCATTGTGGAGCTGATGCAAGTGAGTGCTGGGCTATGGTAATGAAAGGAAAACATGCTGCTGGGCAGGGAGGGATGCAGCATATGGTAACACTTGGTTAGGAGGAAGGGCATATCTCAGCACAACTAAGACAAGGAGTAGAAGGCAGCAGTGGGTTCAGAAAATCAGTTGTTTTTTTAAAAGAAGAAACTGGCTGCAACAGATCTCCTCTGTTTTTGTTCCTCACAGAATGTCTTCCTGTTGCATCCTGATTTTATTTTTGACCTCTAGAGATAACGTATAGAACTTTATGAGCTCCTCCCCTCTCTTTCTCCTACCCGTACCTGCAGTAACATTTTTGATGCCCGTTGTCTCGGCAGAGTGTCTCACTGTTTGTCGCTCTCTCTGGCCTTCTGCAGCCTGTTGGAGTTGGTTGTGACATCTTTGAAGACAGGCCCAGGTTGATGGAGTGGCGCCGGCGGGTGGAGGAAGCTGTGGGGAAGGAGCTTTTCTTCCAAGCCCATGAGATGATCCTGAATATCAAAGAACTGAGCAACATTCAGATTGATCCACAGCTGAAAGAGCACCTGGCACCTGTGTTGATGAAGATGTTGAAATGAATTAACCTATGTTACTATTTTTCCTGTCTTTTTTTTTTTTTTTTTTTTTTACTTCTGTCATCTCTACACCTAACTGGAAAAAAAACCCGCTGTATTTCTTATGTAGTCTTGCAAGGTGTCCTCCCCAACCTCACTACGCCTTCCCTGCATCTTTGGGGGGTGGGAGCTGGGGAATTCTTAAAACCTGAACCATTAGATTTGTATGGAAGGGAAAGACCCTATGGGTCACTTAACACATGCGTCTGGGTTATATTTTAGTGTCACTCAGAAATGTTGGAAACATGAATAGTAATTCCTGTAAAATTTGAGCCAGCCTGCAAACTGGAACATCAGAGAACTGTCGAGGATGAGGATCGTTGTTTTCATGTGTTTGTAACATTCGGAGCTCCTTCCAAAGTGGCAAGCACAGCAAAGCAGACCTGATCCTCACCTTGCCAGCATGTGTCTCTGCGTAGTGAGTACGGAACAAAGCTACAGGTAGTCACTAAAGTAAAAAGAAGACTTTTTATTTCATTTTTTTAATTTAATTTTCTCGTTGCTGGAGCGTATTGCTTGGCCGCCCATCTACATTCCATACTTCTGGTTGCCTTTAAGATCCTGTGAGAAGTTTCTTACGTTCATCCACGACTGTAAATCACTGTGATGCTTTAATTTAACCACTGCTCTCCACTTTGCAGAGTTGGGTTTCTTAGGCATGTGGTTTGTCAGTACGTGTGGTGGGCAGTTCTCGGGAGATCTGTGCAGTAAAGACTGAGCAACTTCAAATAGCTGAGGATGGCCACAGCCTTCAAATAATGCCCACTTGAATCCTCTGTTGATATCATATATGGAATACACTGAACAGATGCATTCACAGTGACTTCTTTAAAGAGAATACGAGTGCAATCAAATCATTTTTTTCTGTGGTAATAGTGCAATAGCAATCCACATTCCTCCTAGAAAATGGAAAGGAGGGGTAAATCTAGACACGCTTTTGGAGATTGTTTTGGATGGAAGTTCACCAAGTCACCCTGTGCAAGATGAAGTAATAAGGGAGATTTTGTGAGCTTGAGCAACATATGCATCACAATAAAAAGGCAGAGAGTTGTTTTGGAGCTTCAAGGCTCTCTTTCTTGGTTGTGCTGTTTCTGATTAGTTGTAGCTCAAGTGGGAAACCATTTTGTACTGCAGCACAAAATGATAATATAATAATGAAGCAAAATAAGCATTTCTAGTTGTTTTTTCAGTTGAAAACAGCAAAGGATGCAAAAACTGTTGGAATGTGTATGTTTGCATACTTCCATTCACATCTAGCTGTTGCCCTTGAACCTTACCCTGAAATGCTTAGTAAATGGGAATTCCATCTCTCAGTAACTGAATAGCTTCTTCTCTTTACAGTACTAACGTGTCTTGGCTACTTGCATTTCTGCTGTTAAGTACTATACAACTTGATGTGTTTGGGTGGTGTTTTTTCCTGAAGTTCTACTGCTAGATGTATGGATTTGGTCCAGAGCCTGGGGAGATCTTTAAATTCCCCAACTGGAATGAAAATCTCATTATATACTTGAGCTTTCAGTAAGAGAAAAGTTCGCTTTTTATGTTTACTGTAAGGACAAGAGAGCTGACTGAAGGCTTTCTTTTTATGAAATGAAAACATTAGAAATAGGTACATGTTTATTCCCACCTTTCCTTTCTTCTCTTAACCCCCAAACATTTTTTGCTGAAGTTTTATTCAGGAATATTGTCTACGCTTGAGATGAATTTTAAATGGGAAGTGGTTGACCATTTGAGAACTTTGAGAGTGGAACTGCTAAGTGGCTGATGACACACACAGATGCCTAGAAATGGGCAAAAAATACCAGGATTTTCCAAAGGCTCAGCAAAATGGAGACTGCTTGCTGCTGTGCTGTCATCTCTCGATTCATTCCCCTGCAAGCATTTGAGTTGCCAGCTCCAGGACAGAAACAATAGAACAAATGCCTTTAGTGTAATAAAAACTCAGATTCTGGGTTGTGCCCTGAGGTCATGGACAGTTTGCCATTTGTGGTCAACCCTCAGGAGCAAAGGACAAAACATATCATTAAAATGTTTGTGACAGACCCTCATGCTGTTGTAATTGCTGACTTTCGATACTTCAATCTCTTCTGCTCCTTTTCTTTTGGAAGGTCTTCTGACATGCTGGTCTCTTGTCATGTATTTTTTAGGTGATGAGGTTTTATTTTGGCCTTGGAATTTATTGGAAGAGATGTTTAATGTATTAAAAAGGAATGAGAAATTGAAAAATGGATCCCAAAGGGCACCTTATGTTGGATCAGTGGTTCTCTGCAGACAGGCAGTGGACTTGTGGCTGGGGTTTGCAGGGTGGCTGAGTCCTCTCAGGGCCTTTGTTTTTCAGCAACAAACTCCGTTCTCATCATTCACTGATGAAGAGAGCTCAGTACAATCTCCTGGGCTTCTCAGTGGGCAAGTCCTAAAATCTTCCCTGCTGTATCCCTGCCATGTAGCAATAAGGTTTCCCCATCCCTTGTAGAAAACGCAGTTATTATAGAAAAGTAAATACCATGCAAAAAAACACCACATAGGCAGTGCTTCTGCACAGCACATGGCCATCCCCTGCCAGATCTGTCTCACTTCACAATCACTCTCCTAGAAATCTGCAGCCTGACTGCTGGCCGGCTTACATGTGCTGCTCCTCCTGCCAGTATTGTCCTCCCTGGCAACAGTGAAGGCCAAACAATTCCCCCAGCAAAGCCAGCAGCTCCATCCGTTTTCATTAGTCTATTGGTAACTGTGGAAAACAAGAAAATCATGTTATACAAGGCCGGTCTTCACAGCAGTGCTTTACCTTAAGCGAGATGACTTACTCGTCTAGCTAGTTCCCAATGCCTTTTGCTGTAAATCAGCACAAGTCCCCACAGAGGAGCTCAGCTTCCGAGAAACCTGATCCACACAGGAGACTGCAGCTGTGAGCCAGTGCCTGCAGCACTCCTGCCAGCTTTGGCACCCAAACACAGCTGCAGAAGCTGGGGCAGAAATCATTACAAAGAATCACAGAATGGCCAAGGTTGGAAGGGACCTCAAGGATCATGAATCTCCAACGCTCCTGCCGCATGCACGGCCACCAACTTCCCCATTTAATCATAGACCAGGCTGCCCAGGGCCCCATCGTATCTGGCCTTGAACACCTGTAGAGACAGGGCATCCACAACCTCTTTGGGCAGCCTGTTCCAGCACCTCATAGTAAAGAAATTCATGTGGGACACAACAGTAAGCCTCCTTGCTTGCCTTTAATTTCTAGCAGAGGAGCAGCTGTTCTACAAAATCATCTCCCTTCCCGTGGTAGACTTTTCCTGCCCCAAAATCCCCACATGCAGCTGATGCGCCGGGGGCAGAATAGAAAAGCCCCATGCCTGACCGCGGTTCGCACTGAGCCCGAAGGGCAGGAGAGGAGGCCCGGAGCGGGGCCGGGCGGAGCGGGAGGAGGCGCCGGGCAAAGCGGGAGGAGACACCGGGCAGCGGGGCACTGCTGCGGGCAGGAGGCGGCCATGCCGTTCGTGGAGCTGGAGACCAGCCTGCCGGCCGAGCGGCTGCCGCCGGGGCTGCCCACGAAGCTGTGCGAAGCCGCAGCCACCATCCTGGGCAAACCCGCCGAGGTGAGCGCGGGGCCGGGGACGGCGGGCGGGGGGCTCCGGGAAAGCCGCGATGTGACCGCGCGTGTTCCGGCAGCGGGTGCACGTGACGGTGCGCAGCGGGATGCCCATGGTGCTGTCGGGCTCGGCCGAGCCCTGCGCACAGCTGCTCGTCTCCGCCATCGGCGTGTTGGGCTCGGCGCAGCAGAACCAGGGGCACAGCGCCCGCTTCTTCGACTTCCTGACGGCGGAGCTGGGCCTCGGCCCCGAGCGGTGAGTGCGGTCCGGTTCGGCTGCGGGCGGCCGCTGGGGGGCGGTGTGGGTACCAAAGCTTGGCTGCCGACGCGAAGGGCTCCGGGGGGCCGAGTCCGGGGCGGCTCCGGCTTAAAACACGGCTGGGCCGCTCAGCGAGCGGCGTGGGGATCGCTGTTCTCTGGATGTCAGTGACTCCGGCTGGGATCATCGCTGCAAACCCGGTGCAAATGGGCCTTCCTGAAGGTAAGACGTGTCCCTTCTGCCCCCTGTCTGCTGGTAGGGACGTTCGCTGCCCCGGGCTGCTGGCAGGACAAGTACCTGCCTGGGCGATGAGCTACCTGGGTACTGCTGGAGTCTCTCTGCGGGCAGTGCTGCAGTTCATTCTGCTTTGGGTTTGTGCAGATGAGCTCTGCCACCTGCCCACACACGGCTTGTCTGTGCTTCTGTTCAATTAACACCGCTGTGTGAGCCAGCCAGAGCTTAGGGAAGATTTTCTAGTTGGTTGCAAACTGGGAAGGGATTATAATTAATTCTAAAATAATATTTTTCTTTTGCTCTTGTACCCAATAAGGATCATGATTCGCTTTTTCCCGCTGGAGCCCTGGCAGATTGGCAAGAACAGAACAGTCATGACTTTCCTGTGACCCCTCGAGCGGCCGTTTGGAACAAAGCAGCGATGAAGAAACCCAGAGATGGCCTGCTCCATCTACCTTGTTTCCTCTTAAATCAGCTCTAATAGTTCTGCACCTTCACCTATGTGATTCTCTTCTGCTTTTGGACACTGTGCATAATAAGAGTGGGGCATTCAGCTGTACTGTTACCAGCAAAGTAGTTCAAAGTCCTTGTCTGAAGCCTTTCATGTAGCACAAAGGGCTCTGCAGGTGCCTCAGCCATTAGCAATCTGGAGATGGCCATGCTTAACAGGCTGAGACAAAGCTTTTCTTGCAGAAGTCCAGAATTTATTTGGCTTTACTGAGAATTGCAGAGGTCCTCCAGTTTATCCAGATTACCTCGTGTTTTGTCGTGCAGAAAGATCCTCCCTTCTGTTTCTATGTGGCAAGAGGTGGCTCCTAGGCTGGCTGAGGAGAACTGGAAGTATTCCTTAAATTATTCTGTTTTCAGGCTCCCAAAAAGCCCTTCCTGGAAAGAGGTGATTGTTGGAGACAAGCTTGTGCATTAATTTCATTGTTTATGTAAGGCTCGTGTCTGATTTTGTGCTCTGTGCTCTACCATTGCCAGTTGCAGGTGGCTGCTCCCACAAAGTTCTGTTTGCCCATGGAATCTTTGTGGCTGGCTATTTGTGTGTCGGTGGCTGTGTGTAGAGGATGGAGCTGCTAGTGAAGAGTTGCACTGTGCCACAGGAAAATGTTGTGAAAATTCTGCCTCTGCTGCCTTTAATCCCTGCTGTTAACCCTGGCGTTCAAAATAGGTTGCATTTCTTCACTCTTACAGGGAGTTTTGGAAAGGGACAGACATCTCACTGTGCCCCATTGCTGATTTTTCATCTGCCTGCACTATGCAGAGGGGCTGCTGTAGTTGCCCACAAGTGACTGAGCACACAGGCAGCATTCTGCCTATTGCTCTCAGAACCTTAAAACTTCTGTTGCTGTTGCACTTTCACTCTGAAGTGTTTTGGATTTTAGGACCTATGTGCTCCATCACTTTATAACTGGAATGTACGTGGTATTTCAGTAAAACAAAAGCACAGTAATGTTATTTCAGCCTTCCACATGAGAACTCGTACTGCCATTCCCTCCACTCTGGGACTTTGTCAGGTGCCAGGCACAGAAGCAAAGAGGACCTAATTGCATGCCCTTGAGAGGTAGAGACCATTAAACACAAGGCTGAAGAGTCTCCATTCCTTCATAATCTTGATTCGATTTTTGTTTGTTTATGTCTTGAGCTCAAGCTAGTTGAAAATACCCCTTCTAATTATCACTTGAATTTGGTTATTCCTTACGCAGCATAAGGATCTTCTGTGTTTGCAAAATTCCCCCTCAGGGGGAGCCGTGCTGTCTGATTAATAAAATGTATCAAAACCTGTTTTGATGAGTGTCAGTTTGTTGGCTTTTTTTCTTAGCTTAGTGCTTGGAGACAGAGATGCTGCCTGCATGGATCCCTGCCTTTTCTCAGATCTCCAACTGAGTGCTTTTGAAATAGGAAATAAACTGGTGAACTAAGCATGAGATACACATGTAACTGCAATGTATTTTGTTGTGGGGAAGAAGGCAGACAGCCCTGGTTTTGCCAGGGAGATACAAAGGTGCTTGACCTACTTGATTGAAATCTCTGACATGCAGAAGGTAATGTACCTTTAATCCTGCTGTGCGAGCTGCTCCTTTCCTAAGGGCACCTCTGTGCCATGAAAGGGCAGCAGTCTTTATTTCCACTACAGAAACCTGTTTCTGACCTGTGCCCCAGCTTTGGTTCTTTTCCTCAGTATTGGCTGCTGCCGAACTAATTTCAGATTCGGTTAGTGCAATTATTTTAGAGCTTATAACATTTTCTCACATTTTTGTTGGCTTTATGTTTGGTAGTTGGAATCAAAGAGATGTGTTACCTTTACCCTCCTCCCTCCCCCCCCCCCCAAATTACTATACAAAGTCCTCTTTGCCTGCATTCTATATGCATATGGTTCTGCTTCCATGGCATGGGGTCTGCTCCCTGCTGGTTTGTTCCAGAGCACTGTGTCAGTGTGTTTACATACTCAAAGGTAATGACCTGAATATGAGGCCTGAGTAACCACTGCCTAGTTTTGAAATGAGAACCACCTCTCTGTGTATTTACACAAGGCTGAGGACTGGTGGAACGCCGAGCAAACGAAAGGGCACTGCTGTCAGAGAACTATTACAAAGCCACGATCTCCTTCGGGATCTGTAAGCACAATGCCGTGCTGCAGCATCCTATGTCACTGACAGACAGCCCTGTTCTGAGCTCCGAGCGACCATTTTCTCTCACAAAGTTCATGCTTTCAAGACTAGGAGAATTATTCTTTATAGTGCTAGGATCTGCCTGGAATACCAACAACCCGCTTGCATTTTAGACTAATTTCCAAGCCCCTGCGCTGGCTCTGGCTGCGCCCTGCAGGTAGCGCGACTCACGACGCATCAGCACTTTCCCGCCTTGAGGCTCCTCAGCCCCGCCCCTCCCCGCTTTCCCATTGGTTGTCTGAGGAAAACCTGTCCAGCCAATGAGAAGCCGCCTTATTGACGACGGGCTCCGGGGCCCTGAGGGAGGTTGCCGTGGAGACCGCCGGTGGGGCCGCGTCTCCGGGGAACCGCTTGTCGCCTGAGGGAGCCCGCTTCTCCGGGAGCCTTGTGCTGTGCCCTGCTGTGCCGGCAGCCCGGGGGCGGCCCCGCCAGGTGAGTGTTGTGTCCGCTGCGGCCCCGCGGAGGGGCCGCAGTGTGGCCCTGCCCAGCCCGCCGTGAGGGCGGTGTGAGCCTGGCGCGGCGCGGCCTCTCCCGCCCTTCTGTGAGGCCGTTGTCAGGCAGACGTGGGCTCCCGCCCGGCCCCGGCCAGCTCCCGGCATCCTGGCAAGCAGCTAGGGGGTGTCCCCGCTCCTTTTTGTTACCGCATTTTGGTAAAAACCAATTTCGCTGAAATACGGTGAAAACGGTATTTAAAAAAAAAAAAGAAAGAAAATTTAAATATTTAAAGCACCAAACCCCAAGTGTTTCTAAAAAAAAAAAAAAAAAAGCGCGTATGTTTGCAGCGTATGATTCCAAGTATAGCAACAAGGAGAAAAAAAAAAAGCCGGGGAAGCCCAAACCACACCCTTTGTTTCTGGTTCTGAAGTAGGGAATCACACAATAGATGTCACAGACGATCCGCACAGGAGCTGCCATCTCACGTTGCAGCCTACTAAGGGAAAAGGGAGGTGTGGTTTTTGAAGTCAGGAGGCTTTAATGGATGTTTTTACCGTTTGATGATGTGCGCACATGTAATAACTACACCTATCTGATGTTGTTGTTTTATTCTGGTATTTTGTACAATTACAAACTTAATCCCAAGTTATTACAACATTAACTTAGATCCATCTATCCATATCTGTTCCAAGATTCGTGCTTGAGTAAAGAGCAGAGCTAAAGTTTCCCCTGCTTTTTCTATGCTTGCAGTCTCTTTGGCACTGCAGCCACGGAAGTAAATTGCTGCTAACAGTCTCTCTCCTGTTGACTTCCTGTACAGCCTTGAAGGAGACCATGTGGATTCAGCAAAAGCCTTGAGCACATTTATGGAATAGGCGTGTTTGTAAGTTGAACTTTAAAAACATTCACTTTAAATATCTAATTGAGTTGGGGTCATACGGCTTTGTTTATTTAGATGTCAGAAGTCTCTGCACTTTCTGCCAGTACCTCTGGTATTTGATATTTTACGAAAAAGATATGGTGATATTTCTTCATATGTTTATATGTTATTTCCATATGCAAAATAAACAAGGACTCCCTGTCTTGAAAGAGATGTGATTTCTTTTTTTTAAATAATGTTCAGTAAGTGACATAAAGAGAAAAATGCTTACTTGCTGTGCATTTATCAGTCTGATTTAGCTGGTAGTAAATATTCGCTCTAATATCATTCCTCTGTGGTAAGCCAACTTGTCTCGTGGCAGTAACGATGATGTAAGACAATTTATTGGTATTTGATTAAAGTATTAAATATTTGTTTTCTGAATGCTTTTCTTATGGTCAGAATAAATGTTCTAATCCTGTTTGCTTTCCAGGCCTGTTTGCATTTAGCCCACCCTCCTAAACCTGGAGAAGGACAGTGAATATTTATGAACATGGTAAGGATTTACAGTGTTTGAGATGTTTTGGTAGAATAGAATTAAAAATTTCCCCTCTTCTTAGGACTAAGAATAAATTGGCACCATCAGAATGTTGGCTTTGAAGTGGTACTAGAGCAGCTATTGGTAGACTTAAGTAAATTTTGAGAAAACCAACCATATTGCACGTGCACATTCTAGAGGAACTATTGCTTGCAAGATGCTTGGAGTCCTCACTGTTGTATTAGCTGACTTGGGAGGAAAAAAACTGCTTTGCCATATTTTTATTAGCAGTTAATGATACCTAAATTCACAGCGGCTCTTCTAAGATTAAGTAGAACCTTCACAATATGGAAATATGCAATTCACACATTTGCCAAGTAAAGTTAAAATAAAAAACATCCAGTTTGCAAGATAAACTGAAATGTACTGGAACAGCTGCCCAGAGAGGCTGTGGATGCCCCATCCCTGGAGCTGTTCAAGGCCAGATTGGATGGGGCCTTGGGCAGCCTGGTCTGGTATGAAAAGGGGAGGTTGGTGGTCCTGCATGTGGCTGGGGGTTGGAGATTCGTGATCCTTGAGGTCCCTTCCAACCCGGGCCATTCTGTGACTCTGTATGAAGGTAACAGCTCTTGTGCCATCTCAATTGCCATTCTAGATTCGAATCGCTGCACTGAATGCGAGCTCCACAATTGAGGATGACTATGAAGGTACCTTCAAAAGTCACAAGACACAGACAAAGGAAGCACAAGTAAGTAAATCCAGAATTCTCCTAATAGATGTGATTTATAGGAATTTTGTCCTCTTTTGTTATCTTTCGGTCATCTGTGTTGTTTTGTTGTTAAGAAAGTTGTGTTACTGTCTTATCTTTTGAATGTTCACACTACAGGAAGCAGAAGCTTTTGCTTTGTACCACAAAGCTTTGGACCTTCAGAAGCACGACCGCTTTGAAGAGTCTGCCAAAGCTTACCATGAGCTGCTGGAGATCCGTCTTCTGCGAGAGGTCAGTGTTGCTTGGGGGATGAAACTCCAGAAACTTTTTATTACATTGGTATTACTTTGTGTCTTACTGGCTAATTCAAAATGTCACTGTTATCAGTTGGCAAGTTGTTTGCTGCTTTTTTTTTTTTTTTTTAACTAATTCCTAATTCTCATGTTGTGTTTATATTACTATTTCCAGGCAGTTCTTTCTGGTGATGAGAAAGAAGGGCTGAAGCATCCAGGCTTGATGTTAAAATATTCCACCTATAAAAACCTAGCACAACTGGCAGCACAACGGGATGACCTGGAGACAGCCATGGAGTTTTATTTGGAGGTACAGCACAGCTGAAAGAAAATACTGGAGCCTCAATGTTTGCATCAATTTGCTGAAATACAGCTGTTCACTTTTCAGCAAACCTTTGTGTGTGTGTGTCTGGGTGCTGTGTGCTTTCTGATGTTTTATGGCCACCATTCAGTCCCTAAGCCACTTGTGTCTCACTTAAAAATTAAAGCAGCCGTAATCTCTGTAAACAAGCAGATATGCATGTCTGAAATGTGAACAACATTGTTTTGCTTTCCAGGCTGTAATGCTAGACTCTACTGATGTCAACCTGTGGTATAAAATTGGTCGTGTGGCAATAAAACTCATCCGCCTGCCTTTGGCTCGTCATGCTTTTGAAGAAGGTCTCAGGTGTAACCCTGACCACTGGCCTTGTTTAGATAACCTTATCACTATCTTGTACACACTCAGTGACTACCCAAGTAAGTACAGTAGTAGACCTTTAAAGAAAAAACTCAATAAATGTGTAATTTCATATTAAAAAATAATGAGATGATGGTAGATTAGGGTGTGATGGAGATTTTTACTTCGTGATGAATTTTTGATTATTTGTATCTGTTCTAATTACTCTAAAAATAATTGCCCAGTGCAGTCTTTATCCAGAACTATGAATCGATCTGCATATTGATGTTGGGTCTCTGCTTTTGATGTTAAAATATTTAAGCGTTTTACCTTTGAGTAATGTCCAGTGAATTAACTGATTCAAATGGTGTTTAGGAGAAAAGTTATAAGATGGCAGAAATGTTGAGTCTGTTGAGTCCCATCGGTTTGCCCGCTGTAATGATCCTAATTTTATTGATGTGATTGCCCATATGAGCAAAACCCGCTGGGATTCGTTGTCCGTTGCAGCAGTGGAATCTGAAATTAAGACACTTAATAATATGAAAGTAGTGCGTGGTGAGAGTAGTGATTGACCATTCAAATTGTATTTCTCTGTCAGCATGTTTGTACTTTATCTGCAAA